TTCATCGGGTCCTTGGATTGGGTCCTGATGTCGTAAAATGAAATATCATTCCGCTCTACGACCGGTGTGTCTTTGTAATAACCGTTCTGAGCCCCAAAACAAAATCGACCTACTTACGACATTGCTTGATGGTTTCATATATAGCAAAAGACTATATATGCGCACTTATGCTTCGGGCATCAGCACCAAAAAACCTAAACCAAGAAGCAAAGAAAACAAACAAAAAAAAAGAAACATAAAGAAAGAAAACTAACCCACCTCTAAAACCGATTTAGAAAGGAAAAGCCAAAACGGTAGGAGGGTTAGCTAAAACATCCGGCTGGCGGGACTCTCTCGAATAGGTAAAGAGGTGGGGCACACTCCCCCGGGCTAACCATGAAACATCTCCAAAAGACAAAATTAAAAAAAACTTCCAAATTGATCCCGAATTTTGCCAAATATAAAAAAATCCTTCCTCTTTTTCTTTTCTCTTATATTACAATCAATTTGGCCCGCAGGACTGGCCCTGAAACATTTTCAAACATCTCATACATTATTCATAAAGGGGGCGTTCAAGCTCTTTCAAATAATCAAGAATTAAAATACTTCATTTCGTGATCACCAAAACATTCAATTCCAACTCAAGCCCAAAGTTTCTAATACCATATGAATCCGACATCATCCAAGATTTCTATATAAGTGCTGGCGGCCGGGGCAGCAAGGGAAACCACCAAAACAGGTTCACGGGTAAGGGGAGCAACGCACACAAATCTTTTATATCATAAGAAAAAGGTGTCACTCAATCCTTCTATATTTACTTATCTAGCACCTAAACTCTACTGTTTTGCATTCATACTATCCAAATCCTTTCTAGGATGCCTGATATAGACAACTCTTTTTTTTTATATGTATCATGAGGATTCAGGTGTTAGAAATGTAAATATATAAGAATTGGGTGGCTTGCATATAAATTTTCCAAAAGTATAATAACCATAGCAAGGAATATGCGATCACCATGCTTAATAACCATCTGTGTCACCTCTGCTAGTATACCACTTTTCTTCTATGAATGCGAAGATACAAAAGGAAATTTTCTTCAAAGGCTATTATATATGCAGGCCAAATATAAACACAATCCATCATGAACCATACAACATGGCTCGAAACAATTTTATCAAGATTTAAAAACAACCAACTAAGCAAACAGCCAACTAAGTTATCCAACAAAAGAGAACTCTAATTCCACATGTATTTTGAAATTCCATGGATTTGCAACCAAACAAGCACTCTATCGATCATATAAAGCGAAACATTCTTAAATTACATCAGTATCCATCTTAGCCTTTCAAATATATTGCAATTTCCCTTTTAATTCCTTTATTCAAGAATTTAATGTGAAGCATGCTATGAGATCAGTATATAAAGGGGGTATGCGCAAATCAACGATAATATTCACGAGGTAGAAACAGTAATGCAAGACGTAAAAAACAACATTCCTCCTGAACCTTAAAATTCTGAATTAATACATATGCAAGTACATATACCAATATAACAAAGATGGTGTCCCGGAAAATTTTAAGTAGATCTTCATATGCAAAAAAAAAAAAAAAAGAAACGAAACTTGATTCAAGCCCAACCAAAAAATATTCCACTTCTGTTTTTTTTTTAGCCAACATCTTTATGAACTCAACAAAAATAGCATTGGAGGGGATCTCGGATAGAGGTGAAAAGAAAATGGGAGAGACTACCTTGTTCAAGCTTCACCCACAAAATTCCAAAAGACTTCGAGCACACACACAGGATGAACAGAGCAGGAAAAATCCATCCAAAGATATTAGATAAAATTTTGGTAGCACCTCCACCCTCTTCAGAATTTCGGCCAGCCTTTCACCTCCCCAGATGGGGTTTCTTAGAGCCAAGAAAGGAAGAGAAAGCTCACCTAAACCTACCTGTGGTGAACCGAAGTTGAGGGAGGCGGGAGAACGACGACAAATGCCGCAGAGAGGAGCAGGCGATAAGAGATCGCGTCTGGGGCGCATGGGGGCTGCGGCTTGAGGGACTATGACCGGGAAGATCAAGGAGATAAGAAATGCAGCAGGGGATGGGCTACGTGTGCGGCTCGAGGGATCGTGACTGAGCTACCGGCTTCGCGAACGGGAGGGAGCTACCGGCTTCGCGAACGAGAGGGAGCGGGCGAACCGGGCGAACCGGGCGAACCGGGCGAGGGATTTAAGGAGAGAGGGGAAAATGTTATATATAATAATAATAATAATATTAATATTATTATTGTTATTATTATAATAAGCTTCATTTTGTGCATTTCCTCCTAGACACGCCATCATTGTGAAATGAATATCTCTCGTAGGAAAAATCGATGTTCCGGACGCGCTGGCGTAGTCCGTTTCGTCATCCGAAGTCATCCAAGTAACATCATCGATGACCGGCTCGAAAACGCGTCAAATTCGATTTTCCGTCAAAATTTTGGTTCAAGCCCGATTGATCAGGATGGTGTAAATGGTTGTCATGAGAGGTTTAGAAAAGATTTGGAGTGATTTTGAATTGATTTGGAGTGTCAATTTGAGGGATTTTAGACATTTGATCAATTTGGGTATGTTGGGTTAGACCTGGGTTTAGGTTGGGCTAGAGCTTAGCTATGACCCAATTAAGAGTTCAAAATGGTCTAGGGGAATGTCATGAAGTGTTCTCAACATTAATTGGGTGTCAATTTTGTTATTTGGGCATTTGATTTAGTGACATTTGGAGACATGGCTAAATTGGGGCAAATTTGGGAATTTTGGATTTGGATTGAAATTGGATTCAAATGTGGGTCGATTGGGCTTGGACTTGGTTTGAATTGAGTTTGATCATGCTGAATTTGAGTTTAGAATTGAAATTTGAGGAAATTGTGATTAAATTGAGTTTAATTGAAGAGTCGAAATTAGTTTCATAGACAAGAGACTGAGTTGGGTATTTTGGTGAAATTGAGGTGTCAACCATCCTGATTCGAGCCACGGACCAATGGAATCTCCATTTGGGTCCTCTATGTACTGGTGCTAGCTAAACCCCAGGCTAGGGCTTGTGGGTCTAGGAGACCATCTACATGAGTCTCTCAAAAGATAAATAGATCAAAGTCAACAAGTTTGAGTTTAGAGTTGTGAGTGAATGTGAGTGAAAGTGAGTGTGAGTGATCCAGACCAACATCCAGGGTCAATTCTAAGGTCAAGCAGTCCTAAGGGTCAGCCCTAAGGTCAAGGTCCTATGGGGATTCACCTTGAGCTCCCCCATATTGACCCCACCTACTAAGTGCTAGAGGTTATGACCAATATGTGGAACTTCAAGTTGAGCAAATAATGATTTAGAGTTTCTAATGGTGAAGGTTCCTTTTCTAGTTTTTTAGGAATAGTCAACAAGAAAGTTCTATGGCTAGACTCTAGGCTACTAAAGAGGAGAAAGCTAGACCTCAACCAAAAATGAGGTCAACAGGCCTTGAGTCTTAGGGTTAGGGTTTAGGAAAGATTTCTTACCTCTCTAGTTGTAGTATTTGGGAGAGATCACCTACCTCTCGAATTGCAGGTGCTTATCTTATGTATTCGCGTTAAGTTATTTGGTGTTCTTGCAATAAAATATTTATTTGCTCTAATTTATGCTAAAATTCCTAACATACTCTAAATCTGGCATTAGGGGACTATTTATTGCTATAAAACACAACAAAACTAGTGTGAAGGCTTCATGTTCTTTGTTTATTCATTTTTTTTTCTGAATGGCTACTAGATACAATTCATAGGTGCTCTCTTGATTGTTTTTTTTTTTTTTTTTTTTGCATTTTTCTTCGTTTCATTTTCGATAAAAATGCAACAAACTTTACACCTTTTGTTTTTTTTTTTTTTTTTTTTTTTTTGCATTTTTCTTCGTTTCATTTTCGATAAAAATGCAACAAACTTTACAATTAGTTTTAATAAATCACAAAATGTTATGATTTTTGCTTAAAATTTATATCTTTTTCTTAATTATTTAATTCACTCAACTAAATCAATAATAAGTGTAATCATGCAATAGAGCATTGCAACATTCGAGTGTGGGAGCTTAATGAGCAAACAATAGAGCGAACTTGTTAGTGGAGGAGTGAGTAAAGCCAGGAAGGTTAACGCTGCAAGAAAGGAGGTGGGAGGAGAGGTGATGAGGGAGAACAAAGGGGTTGCCAGCTAGGTTTAGGGATAGCCTACCTTTGATACCCTGTCAGAGGGAAGGTTGTTTGGAATCATTCAATAGAGTCCCTTGTTTATAATAATTAACAAGGGAATGAGGAAAATATTCTAAGGTACATTGGAATTAACATAAACCACCCTCCTAGTATGGAGAACCTTCTTAGTATAGTTTTATATACCATCTACTCTAAAAGTATTTATTAGTTTAAACTTTAAAAAATCTTCATTTGTGATAGTTGAGCTAATTTGTGAAATAGGAGTTCAAACTTTTCTGATTATTATTCCTCAAAACTGCCTTTATGAATTAGAGGTTGTCTCTCTCTTCTCATAAAATCAGGTAGCTTGCTTTCCTTGTTATAAGCTATTAGTTGTGCATTGCATTTTACTGATATGTAGGCCTTTCATTTGTTGTATTTCTATAATAATTGATGAAGATAGTTTTTTAATGCCAAATCAATTTTGCCATACCAAGCTAATATTTTGCATGCCAGCCCATGACCACGTTACAAAGTATATACTCATATGTGTTCTATCGCAACTTTCATGTGTTGTTTCTCATGCACAATGCTCACGTAGCTGTATACACTACTTGTTTTAGCTCTGTATCATTCTATACACACTGCTTTTGTTTTATATATTTAAGTAACAGCTATAAGTTTACAGAAATTAAATTAAGTAGCCTAAATTTAAAGAAATTTGTCATTCTTACTCTGCGAGTCAATTCCAATAAAAATAAAATTGCTTTTTCAATTTATTTTTTGTTCTTTATCTATCATATGGTAGTATTCTTGTGGTTCTTATCCCATTCAATTCCAGTTTTCAAGTACCTATGAAAGTAGTGAAGCCATTTGAAATTTTCCAAAAGATATTGAAGAATGGTTCAATGAAGCAAGGTCGTTTACTAGGCTTGGATGTGGGATACAGATATGTTGGTCTGGCTGTTTCAGATACCTGTAATAAAATTGCATCTCCAGTGAGGTAAGTGAGAATATTTAGCATACTTTGTATGTACTTTGATAAATTATTGTCACTTCTTTTCAGGTTGTTTGACATAAATTTGATGGCTTCCTTAGTTGACAATGTTCCCTTGTAACTTGTCCCTTGATGCTTCATGGTTAACCTTGCGTGACAGTTTAAATTTGTCTGTTTGTATTGGCATCATTATATTAAGTTATGCTTGTAAAGGAGCTAATGGTTATGATTATGCATTGGTGTGAAGGAGTAATTTGTCTCCAGCTTTGGAGGATAATGGACTTTTTCTTACTGACCTTTGTGAAGAGGACACATGTTTATTCTCTCAGCTGTGCTTTTGATCATTCACTAATGTGAAAACCAGCTATATGTCTGCACTACTATCTTATTAATTACTGCAAGCTGAAACCATCTCATGGTTTCAATGAATTAGCCTATGGTTTCTATTTTTATGGTTTTTGGTGCTCAATGAGAAATTTGGCAATGAGGCTTTCTTCTCTAACACAAGTTCTCCCTCTTTCTCTTCTCTTTTCACTTGTGTTTTTTTTTTCATTCTTTCTACCCTTTTTTCTCCTTAAAAACTAAATTAAACTCTGTGGTAGTGTTGGAGCTCATGGATTTCTTTTTTATACTCTTTTTTCCTTGTTGCTAATCAAAATGCAGTGGGCCTAAACCCACTGTAATTTTTTAAAGCAATCTATATCAGATGCTTATGTGAATTCCTACACAGTCTAGTTTATAAAGTAAGTGCTAATGTTATTTATCTATGAATCTACCTTATAAAGTCAATTTTGTTAGATTTCTTATGAATCATGGTGTTTGACTCAATATTATATTTTAATTGTTGTGCTTTGGCCTATATTTTATGTTATGTAAGTTACTCATAAAGCCTTTATTTATGTTTTGGAAATGTGGCTACCTAACAATGATTAGCACTTTAGCTACTTCCTTTTAACCCGAATAATTTTGGGTCTTTGTTCTATTGGTGCTCCTTAATATGTAATCATTTTGAAATCCTTCTCAATGGTCCTTCAAACACCATTTGCTGCGATGCTTCGTTTCAAATATTCGAGGAAGAAGGTGAGGGAGGAATGGTTTAACAGAGGGTGGTTAATCTGCAAGCATGAAGGAAGGTGGAGGTGAGATCGAGAGGTAGAAACAGTTTAACTAAGGGTGGTCAATTTGGAAGCATGAAGGAAGAAGGGCTTTGAAGCGCGGTGGTTGTCGCGTGCGTCTAGGGTAGAGAAGAAGACAACATCGTTTACCCTTTAGGAGGAGAAGTGAGAGGAAGAGGTAACTGTGGAAGGAGCTCTCCTGAGTGTTGGAGTAGGATCACGTGCAGAGGAAGAGGAGCTCTCGACCAAGCTTTGCTTGTGGGTGAAGGAAGAACAAAAGTCGAGCATGTGATGGAAGAGAAGTAATCGAACAGAAAAAGAGGAGAGAAGAAGCTAACTGTTGACCTCACTTTTGGTTGAGGTCTAGAAAACTTCTTTAGTAGCCTAGGTCTAGCCATAGGACTTTCCTATTGACTAGTCTTAGAAAACTAGAAGAGGTACCCCACTATTAGAAATTCAAAACTCTTTTTTTTATTCAACTTGAAATTCCACATATTGATCTTAACCTCTAGCATTTAGTAGGTAAGATCATTATAAGAGAATTTAAGAAGAATCCCTACAGGATTACTTGGCTTTAGGGTTGACCCGGGGTGTTGACTTGGAACTAAGATACACCATATCTTCACAATATATTAATCCATGGTTCATTTAGAATGGATATTTATCCAATTCTATGTGGAATGCTTAACTTGGTCTTTTGCCCCTAGGCACCTCCAAATTACCTAA